CCTGTGGCTTGTCCATGGGGGGGTTGCGGGGGGGCAGCAGTGGCTTCTGCCACTGTGTGCACCCTGGGAGGCCATGGGGGGGGGTGTTTTCCCGGATCTGCATGTGGGGCAGGGTGGGCTGCCACTGTGGGCTGGGGCCAGGGCGGTGCTGGGCTCTTCTTGTCAGGGAGTTCGGCTGGATTGTGCTTGGGGTGGGCAGCGTTGGGAGAGGGGCTACAGGGGCGGGGGAGCTGCAGCCACCACAAAATTCACTGTAGCCCCCCCTCCCCCCACTTCCCCCTCGCAGTGCCACTACCATCTGGCCTGAGCATAGCCCACCCTGCCCCACGCAGATCCAGGGGCACATGCCCCCCCGTACCCTCCCAGAGTGTGTGCAGTGGTCAGAGCCACCCCCTGGACGAGCTGCTGCTCCATCCTGCACCCTGCCTCGCTCCAGCTGGGCGGTGCCTGTCCCAGCCCCACCCCTTCCCTCACTGTGGGGGGCCTCGATCTGCCTCCCCTCCTCTCCCCTCCCACCACAACAGACTTACCAGCTGAATGCAGCTCTCCAGGTTGCCAGGCTCTGTTCCTTGTCACCTACGTGCTGTGGCTGCATGCATGCATGGGGCATTTATCAGCCACACTGTTGGACACATTAGGCAAAAAAAAGCTGATTTCTGATGCAGTCAATTTTCTTTGTATTGGTGCTGATCTGGTATTGGACCGATGTATCAGTGCATATTTACTACCAACTAAAACCTAAATCAGTAGCTTCAGCTTCTCAGTGGAAAAATTATAATTAGCTGGCAGCTAGATTATTTTCTAAGTGAGTAGGTCCTGTTTAAATGGTAATTGCTGTTTTGCAGTGTGGCCATTTTATTTATACTGTACCTATTTCCAAATATTTTTTTAACTATACTGCAATAGCTGTGTAATTGTACGTTATTGTGAAATGCATTTATACAACTCAACTGGTAAAGTGTCTAGGTATTATAAGGATTGGATGCAACTAGACATCATAATTTACATAATTTTATTCCTCTGGGAGTTTATATTTCAATTACTGACAGTGTTCACAGGTAAAAAAAACCTTAATTCTGAGCCATCAGACAAATAAATTCAGAGGGACGTGAAATGTATCAAAGACTTGGATTGAGCTGTTCCATTGAGGTACAACATAACAGTATGCCTTTTGAAACTGTCCTGTTCTTGAGAAAACTTTAACTTAATCCAAAAAATCAGCTGCTTTTTTTTTTTTTATTGTGAAGAAAACATAAAAAATGCTTAAAATATGTGAACTGCTCCAGTCATTTAAATCAGGGATGTCAAATATGTGGCCTGCAGTCTTACTCAGTCTAGCCTGCCAGATTACATGGACTTCAGCGCCAAAAGTTACAAGCAAGCCTTTGCTAGTACAGTCATTGGTTGCTCTGTGACCACCTAGCCTGCTGCCCCTTGTATGCATCTGCTGTGGCTGAATGGCCAGCAGCTGCTTGCCCCACTCCTGCTGTGGTAGCCCAGGCTGGATGTGGCCTGCAAGGAGCTGTATGGTCTGGATCTAGTCTAAGTTCCAAGTGAGGTTCACAACCATGGTATAAACTTAAGTTGTTAATACAAATGCTAGTGATTTAAATATATGTACTGTTAATTATTTATATGGGAGGAAAGGAAAGGGAAGACTACAGGTCATACAGTTTTCTATGGATACTGCCACAAGTGGTTGCTGTTTTGTAGGGGATGCCAACATTTCTAAAGCCAAACCAAAGGAGACTAGCAGAGCACCTGAGCATTTTCAAACTACCAACAAAAAGCCAGGTGTGATGAGTCCAGTAAAGCTCTAAGTATGAATTTTGGACGTTGTACAAACAACTGAGGGGCATTGCACTTTGATATCTCCTATATGCAAAGCTTATTTTGTGGGTGGAGCATGAAAGAATACACTGCTACTAATTTTTTTTCTATTAGTTTGACTTCTACATCCATGTCCTTCTCTTGGAAGTGCTAAAATGTCATTTTAAGTGAGAAAACTAGGTAATGTTTAGGTTAAGTACCTGAACTAACTAGTGAATCCCTATAATATTCTGTTTGTAAAACCTGGGCTACATACAATACACAAAACCATTTGTTTTGTGCTCAAATACATTCTCTCTAACACATTTAATTGAAGCAGCACACAAGCTAACTGGTATAGCTGCCAACTCAGTCATAAAAAATGTAATGATGTTCCTTTGTTGATAAAAGTTTGAGTTAGATGAAAAACAAACCTTGTCCATATCGTGTAGTAACTGTCCTGAAATTTCCAGGTTGCATATGGCCAAGTTCTTGGTGTGATAGGATATTCTCTACTTCCACTCATTGTAATAGCACCTGTCCTTCTGGTTGTTGGATCGTTTGAAGTTGTATCTACACTAATAAAAGTAAGTTCAGTATTTTTTATAGAGAACAATCTTATTTTTAATAGTTCCCATGCTAATATGCTTCGAAATAATATTTTATGAACAGACTAATAAGTTATAGTAACTTGTCAATACATCTAGGGAAGAACTGCACAAAGTCTTGCGACTTCCCTGACCAGCAGTCACTTGTTTGTCATGCTGACAGATTCTGGGGGAAGAGTTTTATCCTTTGAATTCTGAATTTGGGCTACATGGTTCTTTTTGCTATTAAAAAAAAAACCTTGTAGATTATTAGTGAGGCACCTTAAGCTTTTATTTTTCCAGTATTTTTAAGGGCAGTGGGGGCCAGCATTTTTGGCAGGTGTCGCACAAATCCTTCCAACCATGCGGCATGGGCAGCCAAGGGGGTCTTCATCTTGGCCCTGCACTCTCCCCAAGTGCCACTTCAGTTGCCTTTCCCTGCCTGTTCTGCTTTCTGCTTCCTGTCCCATTTTTCTTCCTGCTGCTCTGCTTTTTTGCTTCCTTCCCTGTGTTCTTGCCCCCTCTGTGGCTCTGCTTTCTGTCCTGTCTGGTAATGTGCTGCTTGCCCTCTCCCTGATCTGCTATGTGCGAGGCACAGAGGCTGCCAGCGCCACTTGTGGTATGTGTGTTGCAGGTTGACCACCCCTGTTCTGTGGCGGAGGTTGGTAACATATATGTCCCGTGGAGCCATTGAAATCAACCTGTGGAGATTCCAACCCAGCCACCGCAGCCACCATTTCTCCCTGCCAACTAGCCAAGGTGAAAGACCCTCTTGGTTGCCTATGGCACATGGTTGGAAGGAGGGGGCATATTGCCTGCCCTGGCTGACAGCAGGGGGTGCATTTGCCCATGCTGAGCATGGAGAAGTAGCGGCAGCAGGTGGGTTGGAAGCACTGGCCTGCCTTGCACTGCAGCTGGGTTGAGATGACATGCTGCTGTTGCTGTCCACTGTTTTCAGGCTGTTACTGTCACCTTTACATGTTTTAAAAAATTCAGTGAGTACTAGTACAGAACTAGCATTTACCAGGGAAAACATTAATAAGTCTCAAAATGAACAATCCTGAAATTGGGTTAAGGTTGTCTGTGCCCCTTACCCCAAAATTCAGAATTTTATGTTAGTTAGTGCAATGTGAATAGCAACATCAGTGGTCATTCTGAGACCTCCCTGTTGTTGTAATGCATAGATCTCCAAGCCCTTGACGAAGAAGGCAAGTTTACAGATGGGGAAACAAAGGTAGAGAGAGCAAAAATAACTTAAGCAAAGAAACCCACCATGACTTTTTGGTAGTAGAGAACTGATAAGGTAGACACCACAAGGCAGAACTGTGCAAAAATTATGAGCTAGCTCTTCATGTGCTTGCTCCCAAACCAGAGGCACTGTAGCATGTTAGCATGGCATTGTACCCAGGCTAACTAGGTCTGCTGAGAAGCAAGCCTTAGCCCTGTTGCTGCACTGTGCCAGTATGGCTGTCCTGCTCTTGTTCTAGAGCTAGCTTGGGTGTCTGCATCCTATGCTTTTGCAGTGTGCATATGCTGATATTTAAGCTAGCGTGTTCCCAGTTAGCTCAGAGTATCTCTGTGGCATTGTGTTGTGCCATGTAGACATAATCCTATGAAGTGCAGTATCATGAGAGAAGTTCCTTGAGGGGGCTCAAAGTTGTGTGTGACTCCTAGATTACCTAAGCACAAGTGCTTTATAGCTTTGCATTGAAACTCTACAGAATTCTCATTCTTGGGTTACCAGTGCATATCTTGCAGGACCTTCTCCTTAGATCTAAGATAATTTGGCCACGTGGGATGCTTCTGGTTTGATTCCAAAGCTCTGTGGATAAGTATGCCAATCACATTTCTTCTAGCTATCCTTTTTTAGCTACAGCTACCAAAAGAAATCCCTGGTAGTTCCAAGTGACACACCTCAAATAATTTTTTCAGTGGTCTTTTAGAGCTAAGACTATTTTACTGAACTTTAGTCACTAAATTCTGAGTTTTCCTTGAATCTGCCTTTACAGGTCCCCAGTTTAGCGTTCACAAGTATGCAAACATAGTACAGTAAAAGCTCTGTTATCCAGCATCCCCCATGAATGGGGGATGCTGGATAACAAAATATGCTGGTTAATTGAGCAGCCTGAACAGGCGTCTTTGCCTGTTTAGTCCATTGCTTCTCCCTCTGCGTCTGGGGCATCGCTGACCCGCCTGTGGGTCCCGTGTGACAGAGAGGTGGGCCCTGCACAGCCAGTCATGCTCCCGGGCCATGGCAGCTTGGCAGCATAAGCTGCCTTGCCCTGGACTGTGGGGGCTTGGCGAAACCGGAAGTGCCACGGTGGGCACTTCTGGTTTCACTTTGCCTTGCAAGCCGGCATGCCAATTAATAGAGTATGCCAGCTTGTAAAGTGCTGGTTAATGGAGCTTTGACTGTACGCTTTCACATCCGGAATAATTGAGGTTGTATGCATATGCCTAGAGGCCTAGCTACATTAAGTCAAAGATGTAGAGAACTGTAGTCCCACTACTGATACCCACAAGTTTGGGTTTCTTTGTCAGATCTAGCAGCCTAACAACCTTTACCTTTTTCTATGTATTTAAAGTGTCCTCTATACAATTTTGAAGGGATTTTTGCTGGGGTGATTTTTTGTTGTTGTTGTTCTAGAAAATGTGTTGCTTCCAGTATTTACAGAAGACTTGGTAATGAACAAAAGTTTTAAGAGTTGGACTTCATAACTTGTGAAAATCTCAGTTGGATGTGTACAAAGTCATGGCCTATGCAAAACTATTTGGTTAAAAACTGTGTCTCTATAATGGCTAATTAAGTTACTTTTGAAATCAGAGTAGCAATTGCAAATAGCTTCCTGGAATAGCTTCATGTATGAAATCAGAGGGGTCAGTACAGGAGACCCTGGTATAGAGCCTTCTTAAATGTGCTAGTGTTCTTAGCTGTGAGCTCTTGTAATAGAGTTGGGGCTAGGAAATAAGCAAGCCCACTCACTCCTAAACCCAGTAATTAGGCAGCGTAGATGGTTTGGACAAGTCCTGAGTGCATGCTTTGCATTGTAACGAAGGAATAGGTGGATCTCATTTCTTAATAGCAGTCTTGGGTGTAGCAGGGATATAGGA